TACAAACCAAGCTACAATAATCTTTTCCTCCTGTAACTTTGAGTATCAGGTATTTGGTGTCAGCAATGAGAAAAGTAAGTAAGATAATTATGTATTGAAGCATATTATTCCTATAACATTCTTTTAAATTTTCTATTTCTCAATGTTAAAAAAAATCTCATATAGATTATTTGTCATCATCTCTGGCCTTAACATTCCTAGTGTTGACTGTCCTCATAGAAAGGGATGAGACTTATGAGACTATAATGCTGTGTTTTGTGACGGCCTTTCTTTGGGAAGGATGATGTCATCATGTGATGGCCTGAAGGAGTTATTAGGAGAACATAAGACTTTTGAGTGCTGGCATTTCTTAATAAATAACATACTGTTGAAATCATTAATTTGTGTTTGGATTGGAGTGAATCTAGATTTTCCTGGCTTAGTTATTGAGATTAAAAGAAATAAACTCTACTATTGAATATAATACATAACTGAATAGAATGAAATTCTAAATATTTTTCTCCTTGGCAAAGAAAAGTAAGGTTAGGAAGGAAAAAAAGTTAATAAACAACTGACAGCCTGTGTTACACAGTTTTGAGGCTAATTTTTGACATTTGAAGATAAGGAATACTTTGGATCTTTGTTTTTGTGATTCGTGTATTGGTTTATTGCTGAAACATAACATAGTTATTAGAAAAACCTTTAATTTTTTAAAAGATATTTTTGTATCAATAGAACTGGATTACTTTTCTACAGTAATTAGTGCACATTTGACTTTTTTTAATTGTGTAAAATCCATGTAAATTGTATTTTCACTATTTAAGTATAGAATTCAGTGGTATTGCATTCACATAGTTGTTCAGTCATTAATACTGTATCTGTCTGTAACTTTTTTGTCATTGCACCTTAAACTCTGTATCCATGAAATAATCACTCTCCATTCCCTTTCCCCTCCCAGCTCCTGTAACCATTCTAGGGAAGAAGCCAGATTGATAATTGAAACGGTCAATCTGCATCTGAAGAAGGCACAAAAATTTCTCTGAGAGCAAATGAGGATTTTGTTGAGCTAGCATTGAAACACTAAAAATATGTATTTGTAATTATTTTCTTTTAAAGGATTTAAATTATGAACTTATTAAGTTATTCACACTATTAAAAGAATGGAGCATTTTAAAATTTTCTTTTCCTTGTTCTTCTTTATTACTTTGTGAGACGTGAACAGTATCATATCAGCAAAATAAGTATTTTCCAGGACATTGTGGCCCACAAGGGTAATGCCAGCACCCCAGGAGACTGACAAGTTGGAGATCAGTTGGGCAATGTAGACCATTTCACACACACAAAGTAATTATATTATCTTTCTGTGCTTTGTGATAGTCTCAGCCTCAAAAGAAGTAGAAAGTTAGAAAATAAATTGGGAAGAAAATGCCATGAGAATTTCCCCAAAATGGCTTTTTCTATGTTTAAGAATCCACATTATTGTCTTTGGGTTCCATGTGTGTCTCCAGAAAGTTATTCTTAATTCATAAAATCATAAAATTATTGAACAGGTAGTTGAGATAGGGAGAAAATATCTTTTCACATACTTCTTACATGAAAAAAAAAATTGAATAATTGAGAGCCTCTCCCTGGAAGTGCCAGGGGAGGAGGATTTTGAGATGCTTCAGAACTTAGTGCCAGGACTATAGCCAGGCTCTATCATTCATCTCAATTAAGAAATAGTTTTTCTTTATATGGTTTCTGGATGTGAGATGTGGTTTTAAAACTTCTGATAGAATAAGTAATCAGCAAAACTGAAATGGTTACGCTCCTATGCAGTAGCACACCAGAACTTGCTCCTGCCTACCTATACCTTGGTACCTCCTAGTCTCTGGTAACCACTCTTCTACTATCAACTTCTATGAGATCAACATTTTTGTATTCCACATATGAGTAAGATCATGTGATACTTGTCTCTCTGTGCCTGTCTTATGTCACTTAACATAATAATACCCTACTCCTGTGTTGTAGCAAATGACAAGATTTCATTCTTCTTATGGTTAAACAGTATTCTGGGTTGTTGTATCCTACATTTTGCTTTATGTTTTCATCAGTTGTTGGACAAAGTAAATTTGGAAAAACAAGATAAACTAGCTAACTATAAAATTAAGAAATAATTGTTTGTTGAAGTACTTTGAAGCTTAATCTGTATCTAGCAAATATTTTTTCCTTTGTTAGTAAGGGGGGAAAAATCAAAAGATAGAAGTCATTTGTTATATTTTTCTTTTTATTTTCTTTTTTTTGTAACAGGGACCGAACTCAGGACCTTGCACTTGTGAGTTTCTGGGTTTTAAATAACTTAGATTTATAATACAAAATGACTGGGTATTTAGCTCAGTGTCATTGCACCTGCCTTGCAAGCATAAGATCCTTACTTAATTTGATGCCTGGCACCAAAAAAAAAAAAAAAAAAAAAAAATTTGACTGGTCTGCTTAATTTTGATTTATTGCCTTAAGTTGTCTTTATTGGCTAAAACAAATATTTAAGAAACAATATGTAATTAACATTAATAATGCTCATTTCTTTACCTTTTAAAATTATACGTTATGTTCTTTTAAAGTTTATACCATATAATTTAAATGGAAATTGATAAAGAAATTCTTGTTATTTGTATTAAAGAAGTATTCTCAATTTGATTGATTTATATGGGAATTTTTTTAGTCTGAAGGTAGCTAATGGTTTCTGTTACCTGTCTAGCTTTTTCCATGTGAATTCAGTGTGAGGAGGCATTTGGACAGATGGTGATCTCTTTCCCAACTTCAGTTACTGGGGCCCATAGGGATTGTGTGGGTCTTGGGAGACACTGGCCTCTGGACATATATCAGACCTTTTGAATTTCCAGCAATAGCTGTGCTCCAGAGAGAGAATTCCAGCTCATTTAGAGATTGCTTCTGCTGTTTGATGCTAACTGCCATTTAGGGTTCCCTTGCAGTTTGACCTGAGCTTTAAGGCTGAGGAGAGCTGTGAATTGGAAAACAATCCACTTAAATATACTTTAGCAGCCAAAAAGAGGGTGAACAAGGAGAATATCCAGAATAAGTTGACTTCATTGAAATAGAGATATTGGAAGAGATTGATGGTGAGTTCACCAAGCAGAACAAAACAAATTATCTTAAGTCTTAAAGTGGCATGCTTCTAATTATAGCATAAAAGAATTTAAACATGAAGTGAGGGGAAAAACACTTCTCCATATATTAATTTGTCCATAGGATAATGTTTTATTAAGATTCAGATTTGTGATATAGATTAGATGGAAGAGTAAATCAAAGCAGAAAAACATAAAGAAGGAGAAAGAGCCAATGGAGGAATGCAAAAGTAAAGATATAATAGAGAAGAATTCTTGTTTGGAAAAAAGATTGAAAGAAAGAATTCATTGAATTCCAGACTAGAATGTGAAAGGTGGTCGGCAGGCAGAACAAATTGCTTACAAAAGGAAAGTAATAGCAGGGTGTCAGAATGCTCCATGTGACTTTGGAAACTAGAAAGTAGCAGAATAACATCTGCAGATTGCTAAGAATGGTGCCATTTCCTAATCAAAATACCATTTTCTTGTACATTTGAAATATTTGCAAGCATGTAGGAATTCAAGGCTATATTAGTCAGGTGCTCTATCTGAAGAAAATTCTCCAAGGAGTCATACCACAGCATTCCAAACAGAATTGAGACTTAAAGATTTTTTTCTGTTTTTCTATAGACGCAAGAGAGAAAACAGTGGTAAGCAAATAAACCTCACAATATATTTAATTAGATAGTGATGTACAGGAAGTCCTCGACTTACGAACATTTGAGTTGTGAATTTTTGTAGGTGTACTGTACATGACTCACTTTGTTGGATTATGATGTGTCAGACTTAGGAATGTACTCTTAGAACAGGATTCATTTGTAAGTCAGGGACTTACTGCATATTCATATATCAGCTTAAATTTGTGTTCTGTACATTTCTTAAAAGTTTGCATCTGATCCAGAAGCTACATTAGGCTTAGGTTCTATCCTTTTAGCAAAATCCTAGGTGATGTTCTGTTCCAGTATTTATACTAGATGCATATACAGTAATTTTTGGTTGCCATTTTATAAAAATAGCCAGATTTTTTAGTTCTAGCTCCATTCATTACTTGGTTGCAGAATGGTGATATCCTGGTATTCTGTTTTATTCATAATTATTTAGAGATGCTTCTCTTCATCTCTTTGGTTAAAAGATGTTTGATTCTTCTCAGTTTATCACTTACAAGAAAATGGATTGGTTCTCTTTCGTATTTTTGGAGTATGCCATTATAAACTCATGTAGTTCAATATGTGCAGTGGTTTTGCACTTAATTATAATTATTATTATCAATTTTTTGGCAGTACTGAAGAAGCTTAAACTCAGGACCTAGCACATGCTAGACAAATGCTCTACCACAGAGCTATATCCTCAGCCCTTTTTATTTCTCTTTTTTTTTAGGGGGAGGTACCAGGGCTCAAACACAGGACCTTGTGCTTGTGAGGGAGGCACAGCACCACTGAAGTAAATCCCCAGCACTTTTATTTCTCATTTTGGACAGTCTTGCTAAGGCTGGATGGGAATTTGCAATCCTCCTAGTAGAGCTTCCTAAGTAACTGGTATTACAGGCATGTAGTTCTACCATGCCCTGTGCAATTGTTGGTTTTTGTTGTTGTTGTTGTTATTGTTGTTGTTTTTGAGACAGGGTCTCACTCTGTAGTTGAGACTGACCTGGAACTCACTATGTAGTCCAGACTGGTCTCAAACTCACAGTGATCCTCCTGCCTCAGCCTCCCAAGTGCTGGGATTACAGGCATGCGCCATCATGCCCGGCTATCATGTTGTTTTTTATTCTTTATGACATCTGCTATAGTTTTGATACTTTGATGCAATTTTTAGGTAGATGTCTTAGAACTGTATTTATTACTGTATTTGCCAAGAATAATGGTTTTATTTCTGTGTGTGTGGAAATTCAAAAGGAATCATTGGCTGAGTGTGATGATGCACACCGGTAGTCCCAGAGCTCTGGGAAGCTGAGGAGGAGGATCAAAAGTCTGAGCCCAGCCTGGACAGTTTAGCAGCTTCTCAAGACCCTGTCTCAAAAAATAAAAAAGGACTGGGGATGGAACTCAGTACAATAGCCCTAGTTTTAATCCCTAATGCTGCAGTAAATAAATGAAATTTTGGAAAAGGACTAGGCATGTAACTCATTGAGAATACCCTGGGTTTAAGCTTCAAAAAAGTAATCTTTTTCCAGCAATAAAGTTAGAGGCATATGTTTAAATGACTTATTCAATCAATAAATATTTTAATTCTTGCTTTCATTGAGCCAACTCCATAGTAGAAACTCTGGAAAATTAATCACAAAACCTACTATATGTTTCAATCAGCTGTCAGGACTGGTGTTAAAGTTAATGTATTTCATCTTTCAGATTTATCACGAAATCGCCTCTCAGAAATTCCTATTGAAGCGTGTCATTTTGTTTCTCTTGAAAATCTCAACTTGTACCAAAATTGTATTCGGTATATCCCAGAAGCAATTCTAAATTTACAAGCACTAACATTCTTAAATGTTAGGTAAGAATATTGTTTCTTTAAATTTTTCTTTGTTTTATACAGTCTTCCATTTTTGCATCTCTGTCACTTAAATATTTATGGATATTTATATCATCTGTTCATATTGGCAGTTTCTGTATACATTCTTAGAATATATTGAATAAATTCCTCTAATTTCTCTCTTTACTTTTGGCTTAGCAGTAACAAACCCTAATAGCTTGCTATTAGCCAAGGTGACTTGCAGAAGTCTTGTAACAGTGATTCTCTAATTATATTTTCAAATTAGTTTCAGCAAGTAAGAATAGTAGATCTGAAATTACTTCATTTGATTTTTGTGACTGAATTTTTGTGTATTAAATTCTGAGTATATACATTTATAAATACATTTAGTTAACTTACCTCCATTTTTTCACATCTTGTCAGAACTATGTTTTATTTCACAGACATTCTTTCTTTCTTTCTTTCTTTTTTTTTTTTTTTTTTTGGCACTGGGGATCAAACTCGGGTCCTTGTGCTTGCGAGGCAGGCAGCAGAACCACTGAGCTAAATCCCCGACCCTCACAGACATTTCAAAGGTTAAAAAGCAATCAAGGGGCTGGAGTTTTAGCTCAGTGGTTCCCCCATCTGCCTTGCAAGCACAAAGTCCTGAGTTCAATCCCTGGTACCAAAAAAAAGCTAATTAGAGAGCCAGGGATTTAGCTCAGTGGTGCTGTGCTTGCTCCCAAACACAAGGTCCTGAGTTGGGGGGGTGCTAATTGGAGAAAATGCACAAATATAAAAAAGTATAAATTTATCAAAATGTTGTATCTGAGTTATGTAATTATAGATGATTTTTCCAGGCTTTTTGTAAAAAAGTTTAAACATTTTCCCATTGTCATATAATAGCCTTTAGAAATATTTTATAGGTAATCATTTATTGCAGTTTTATATACTTTTTAAATCCTGTTTTCTTGAGATACTTAGCTTTTGCCAGCTTTTATTTTTGTATATGGTATCCCCAGCTATTGATTTTGTTTTGTTTTTACTTTTGAGATGAGATCTCACTATGTATTCTAGCAACAGAGTTATAAGCATATGTTGAAATGACTTAGTCAGTCAATTAATAAATATTTTAGGGGCTGGGGATTTAGCTCAGTGGTTCCGTTACCTGTCTCGCAAGCACAAGGACCCGAGTTCAATCCCCAGTACCAAAAAAAAATTTTTTAATGCTTACATTGAAGCAACTCCACTTGAACTCACTCTGTAGCCTAGGCTGGCCTCAAACTCATTGTAATCCTCCTGCCTCAGCCTCCTGAGTGTTGGGATTACAGGCATGTGCCACCATGCCTTGCCCCAGCCTTTTTTCTTTTTTTTAATTTTTAATTTTGAGACAGAATCTTGCTAAATCGCCCAGGTTGGGCTGGAACTTGCAGTTCTCTCGCCTCTGCCTCCCAGTGTAGTGGAATAACAGGTGTACACCCCCACACCCAACTACAAGAAGACTTAGTTTGTGGATGAGGAATCTTTATACAACACAGATAAGATTCAGTGTATGCCTGAACCTTCAAAGCTGACAGTTGACCAGATGAAGACTAGAATATAAATCTCGTAACCTGTTTGTTCTTTGTAAGATTTATATTTGAGTCTAGAATGAGAGAGCAACGTTTTTCTTCAGTGGTAGCATCTGACTTCTCTTTTCTTACCCATTTAGTCGGAACCAACTGTCAACATTACCAGTACACTTGTGTAATTTGCCGTTGAAAGTCTTAATTGCTAGTAATAACAAATTGGTCTCACTTCCAGAAGAAATTGGACGCCTCAGACATTTGACAGAACTTGTAAGTTAATGTTTTCATTTTTGATTGTTTATTGTGTCTCCAGGCACACAGTACTTGTCCATATGTTAACAACTGTGGTTTTGAGTTCTTTTCCAATGTTGTCATGAGCTTTATAGTAAGTGATCAGTACTCAGCTCTCTGTCAGGGAATTAAGATAAGAAAGGACCAAAAATACAAACCTGATAGACCTACACAAAATGGAAAAATGTCATTAGAATTATGTTCTAACCAATATTGAATAATGTCCATGTTATCATACTTTTGTCATACTAGTTAATACTACATTTTACTACATTTGATTTTTCAAATTAAATTTTTTAATACCATCAATTTAGGGGAGGTGGGGGTGGTTTTTTTGAGACAGTTTCACTCTGTAGTTCAGGTTGGGCTTGAATTTACTATGTAGCCCAGGCTAGCCTCAAACTTGTGATGATCCTCTTGCCTCAGCTTTCTAGGTACTGTAGTTATACATGTGTACTACCACACCAGCCTTAATATCATCAATATTCTAATTTTCATTTATTCTGTAGGGGAATGGATACTTAAAAGATCAGGCTTTTTTTGTTTGTTTTACTATAGTTAAAATGTAACTATAAAGTATAATTTACTGCCATATAGTTCCTAAAATGTTTCCTTGGCAGTTCACCTATCATCCCTTGTAAATTATAAGAAACTGTCTCTTGTGTAAATGTTCTGAGTATAGGAGTGAGAGTTTTTTCAACAGGCATAGTGGCATATGCCTGTAGTTCCAGCACTCTGGGAGGCTGAAGCAGGAGGATTGCAAGTTCAAGCCCACTCAGAGCAACTTAGTGAGACCATATTTCAAAATAAAAAATAGAAAAGGGCTAGGATAATGTAGCTCTGTGTGAAGGCTCTAGATTCAACCCCCAGAGAGCCGGGGATTTTGCTCAGTGGTGCTGCCTCCTGCCTCGCAAGTGCAAGGTCCTGAGTTCGATCCCCTGCACCAAAAAACAAACAAACAAAAAAAGATATGTAAATTTGATTTTGGGCCAGGGATATAGCTCATTGGTTCCACTGCCTGCCTTGCAAGTGCAAGGACCTGAGTTTGTTCCCTGGGCCCACCCCCCACAAAAAAAAAAAAAAAAAAAACCAAACAATCAACCCCCAAGACCAGGGAGGAAAAAAAAAGGAAAATAAAGAAAGGAATTTTCTCATGTAATCACTGTGAATAACATTATAAGCTGAGTATTAAAATACTCATTTTATAGGTAAGGAAAGTACTACTCCGGTTAAATAATTTTCCCAAAGTTACATAGCAGAAGTAGAATTTGAAGCCACCTATCTTGATAGTAAATCATGTTTCATATTTCTGAAATGGTCAGATAAAATTATGTCCATTGAAATATAAGAGTAGTTCCTTGTGGGTTGATTAACAAAAATGTTTATCATAAAAAAATCATATAATGTTGATCTAATTGGACAAATTAGGGCACTTTTTACATGCATTTTGAATATAAGAAGTTACATATAAAATTTCACAGTATGAGTCCTACAGTCTAGATTTTAGACTAGTTTTAGAGCCAGTTAGACCTGGGAAATAAAGTCCAGAATGTACATTTATTGGCACTTATTGAGAGCTGGGATTAATTATACTCCAATTCAAATTCGTATTTTCAAGTCATTTAAACTTTCTTTTTCTACTTTTTCAATCCTGCATACCCAAAAGATTAGATATATTTCAGTAGCCGCTTTTAGTTTTTAGTTGCTACTCTCTCATGCAAAGAGCTTTTGGGGCTGGAGATTTAGGTCAGTGGTGCCGCCCCTGCTTCATTAGCATGAGCCTCCCCCCCAGTACCAAAAAAAAAAAAAGGAAAGAACAGAAGCAAAGAGCTTTTGATGAAGAAGAATCTGCCCCCTCAAGCTCCCCATTGTCTTTCTGCAGCATCCTTATTGCCCCTCGTTTTTTTTTTTTTTTGTTGTTGTTGTTGTTGTTTTGCCGTACCAGGAATCAAACTCAGAACCTTGTGCTTGCAAGGCAGGTGCGGTGCCACTGAGTTGAATCCCTGCCCCTGCCCCTCATTTTTCAGTGAAAGTGAAAACGCTATTTTTCAACATACATTTTCTGAAAGACACTTTATTAATTATTGCACTGTTTAGCTCAAACTGAGTTTTCCTGCCTTTTCACCTTCTTTTAGAACCCCCTTAAGCCTTGCTACGTAGAACATTGGATTGAAAAGTCTAGCTCCTGGTTCTGCTTCAGGCACTAATTAACAGAAAAGTGAAAATTGCATTGTTTTCTATAAGAATATTTTGGGAAAATTAAAAAGTAATGTCTGAATCTTACTGAAGTTTTTGTTGAGTAGCCTGACTTTCTAAATATTATTCATATATTGGAAGAATTTTAAGTGTTAATGTACAGCCTGGATGATTCATTAACCTAGGAAGCTTCCTTCTGTTTTACTTGATAGTAGGTACAGATTTTCTAGCTCTTGTCAGAATAATGAAATTATGAATTTACAAATCTTAGAACCTGTTGATAGTCTTTTTGCAGAACCATTAGAATCAAGCTATTAACCAAGATATAGGAGGCCTAACTAATGCATGTTTAGAATCACATTCATGGAGCTGGGCATGGTGGTGCATATTTGCAATTCCAGCACGTGGGAGGCTCAGGCAGGAGGATCTCTGAGTTCAAGGGCAGCCTGATCTCTGCCCTTTAATTTTATATTCTTCACTTGATCTTAGCCAAAAGGCTGAGAAGCAATGTTTTTATATTCTTGATCAGTCAAGCTGGTATTTTGAAGATGGATTTTTTTTCTTCCAAATAGTTGTATCAATATTTTATCTTCCTAGTTTTATTAGAAAAACATAAAATAACGTATTTATACTTCTTCCTCCTTTACCTTTCACCAACATTTTCATTTGATCTGATAATCTAGAACTCCTATTCACATCTTAAGTCATTTAATTGTAGTTCTCAATAAATTCATGCAAATCTATTAAAAATTACAGAATCAGTCATAACATTTTTAAATCATATGCATCTTTATTTTTTCGTGGTGCTGGGAATCAAATCCAAGACCTTGTCCCTGCTAGGTAAGTGCTCCATCAGTGAGCTGCATTCTTAGCCCCAGAGCCAATAAGTTTTAAAGTTAAATCCAAATATAAACTGGAATTATTTAACACAGAATCACAGTTTGTTTTAGTACTGGGAAGGACTCTGGTATTATCATATCTAATCTCATTTGATAGTTTAAAGCAGGCAAGTTTATAATAAGAATAATCTTTACTTTGTATCCTTTTGAAATAGGATGTCAGCTGCAATGAAATTCAGACTGTACCTTCCCAAATTGGTAATCTGGAGGCTTTGCGAGACCTTAATGTAAGAAGAAATCACTTAGTACGTTTGCCCGAAGGTAAGAAACTGAAGTAATTGTCTTAGTATTTGTCTTTATTTTAAAGATCTCAAACTGCTTGGCACAAGACAAAAACATTTAAGTTAGGGCCAGTGTTTGAGATCTGATGGTTAAATAGTGTTATCTATACTATTGTAGATTTTTAAAGGACTCTTCAATGAAAAGTTTTGTTTTGTTTTAGTGCTGGTAATTGAACCCAGGGCTTTGTATATGCTAGGCAAGTGTTGTACCACTTAGCTACAACCCTAGCCCCCAGTAAAAAGTTTTGTTAACTTTTTAAGCAGTGAGTTTGTTTTAATGAACTATCAGTTTATCTAAATGATAACTCAGGGTTGGGCCACTGGAAATTTCATTAAGCATAACTATGGGAGAAATGTAATGTTTTAATAAGGGAATAGTCTTATGTAATGAAAAGCATTCTTAAAGTTAGCAGTTACTTAAAAATGGACTTTTGAGGGGCCAGGATTTAGCTCAGTGGTGCTGCTGCCTGCTTCACAAGCTCAAGGTCCCAAGTTTGATCCCCAGTGCCAAAAAAAAATGGACTTTTGAGCTGAAATTAACCACATCCTTGACTGGAGATGAGGTGATGTGCATAGAGTGAATAATGAATGAGGGGAGAGACTGCACCCAGAGATTCACTGTCTCAGGCTGGCTGTAAGTCCTAGGGTTTGTATTTAAATGACAAAATGATTAAACAAATGAATTTATCAATCTTTTACTTACACAAGTTCATGAAATAAGCTCTAAATGAAAGTGAAAATGGGAAGAAACATTATTTTATTAGACTCGGTAAATTTTAAAATTTTTATCATAGAAATTTTCATATATAAATGAGAGCACTGAACCTCTGTGTAACCTCTCTGTAGCTACAGTTATTAGCTCATGGCAACTCTTATTTCACTTATACTCTTACCCACTTTACCCCAGCTTATCCTTTAGATTAATTTGAAGCAAATCCCCAGAAATTCTTTGGGAATATATACTTAAAAGATGAGGGCTGGGGGTGTAGTTTGAGGCCCTGAGTTCAGTTCCCATTACCAAAAAAAACAGATAAGAAATCTTCTGAAGTTGTTCTCATGACAGTGATTTCTGTGTTCTTCAAAACATTGCATAATGTACAGTAAATAAATTAACTAATGACATTCTACTTTCATTGTAGAATCCAATCATTTAAACCACTTTGATCTAGTATCATACTTAGTTCTAACATATAGAGAAGTGTATTTTTGCCATTTTCAATCCCAAATAAGCATGTAAGAAAATGATTTTCCCATTTCACCTTTATCCACTTATTCCCACACTACCCAACAGCTTGCACATCATACATTTCATGAAACTTGTTCGGTAACCTTTACACCTTTTATCTTCAGGGCCCTTTTCATTTCCTCTTGGTCTTTGCTACCATCTCAGGAATGTGACTAGAACCAAGGTTATGACCCAGTATCTCCAAATCCAACCTAAAGTTAGTTGGAGGAACCTCTGCTATAGTTGACCTTTAAAGTCTTAACTAATGTGATAAAATTTACTAATGTGAGGTCAATTAATGGAAATAGTTTTGATAAAAATGAAAATTAGGGGTTTCAGATGACAATTACAATACAGTATAATAGTGCCATCTTCCATCTTCTGCTTTATTTCCTTGCCTTATTCTGACTATAAACTAACAAAATTATGAATCACCCAGGTACTTTTTAAATGTTTTTTTTTTCACAGCTGTTTTGTAATATCAGTCTACACAGTTAAACTGAGATAGCAAGAACTTTATTTTAATAGTCACACAAGTTCATGTTAATAATCTTAAATATACTGAAGTTTGGTAGATAACATGTTATATCTTTGTTACCTTGTCATTTTGATTTTAAATTAATATTAATTTTTACTAGCTAATACAGTACATCATTCAAAAGGTACCTAAAAGCCTAAAATAAATAATAATATTCCCCTTCCTGAGATTTTTCCCACACCTCACATTCAGTGGCTAAAGGCATCTACCTTCATTAAACTTTTTTGATTTCTTTCCACTGATATTTGCTGATAATACTTCTCAAAGATCCATCTATCTACAACTGGGCTTGTCAACTGTGATACTTAATGTTCATTGATAAAGATTTTATTTTCTTCTACCATCTCTGTGTTGTACCTTTACTTCTGTTCTCCCATCTTCCCAGTGGTTCTGTCACAACTTTTGATTAAATTGGGTCTGGTAGAGTGCTTGGCTTGCATGCACTAGGCCATGGTTTCAGTCCCTACTGTTGAACCAAAAAATAAAAAATTAAATCATTATTCAGTGTTTACATTAAACATGTAAATATTTCCTGAGAGTTCAAGTGATGTACTCTGATTTCATTTTTTAAATTTTATTTTCTTGCATATTTTGTTGTTGCTGTGTTGTTAATAATTCATCTTTGCTTTTTTTTTTTTTTTTTTCCTCCTGCTGATTTCCCTTGAAGAGCCAGCTTTCTTTCTCTTCCTTATCTGGGCAGCTGTTCTCTAGTAATCCTGCCCAGCTTGCTCACCTTCATGTTGTGTATGACACTGTCATTTCTGGAGTCCAAATGTTCCTTTTCTTTGGTCTGTGCTTTTGATTGATTGATAATTTGCATGTAGATTCTGGTTGAAAGCTGTTTGCTCTTAAGGATATTTTAGTATTTTTTCATTTTAGCTTTCATTGTTAGTAATCTCAGATAACTGAAGTTTGGTAGATAATATGTTACATCTTTCAGTGTTAAAAATAGGTGGTGGAAAGCATGCCATTTCTTATTCTTCTCCTTTGTGACCAACTTCTTCACTCTGAGATTTTAAGATCTTCCCTTTATTCTTGTTGCTCTGAGCTTTTATAATGATACACATAGTAGGAGTTATTTTAACTCATTCTGGATACTTGGTGGTATTCGAAGGTGTTAGAGCTCTCTGATAATTTCCTCTCTTCCTCTCTGTTCATATTTTGGAATTGAATGTTAGACCTCTTTGATTTGACTTTTTTTCTATCTTTATTATTGTTCGTTTGTGTGTGTGTGTGTGTGTGTGTGTGTGTGTGTCATTTTGTCGTTACTAGTAAAATTGTTCCAACCATTCTTGTTTGTTTGTGGGTTTTTTGGTGGTGGTTTGTTTTTTTTGTTTTTTGTTTTTTTGAGAGGGTCTCACTTTGTAGTTCAGGCTGACCCTGCACTCACTATGTAGTCCAGGCTGGCCTGGAACTCTTGGCAATCCTCCTGCCTCAGCCTCCTGAGGGCTGGGATTATAGCCATGCTCCACCACACCCAGCCATTCTTGCAGTTTTAATTTTAGAAATTCAATCTGAATTTTATGTTTCTGTAATCAAATTTTTCATACTAACTCTTGTTAGTGTATGAATTTTTTACAAGGGTTAGTCTATGATTTTTTAAAAATCCCTTCCATATTTCATTGATTTCGTACCTTATTTCTCTGAAATTAACGATACTAATTCTAGCTTTCAAACCTTACTCTTGCTTATTATATCGTTACTTATTTTAGCCAGGCATGGTAGCACACATTATAGTCCCAAAACTTTGGGAAACTGAGGCAGGAGGATCACCAAATTTGAGCCCAGCCTCAGCAATTTGGCAAGTTAGCCAAGACCCTGTCTCAGAATTTAAAATTAGCCCAGTATGAAGGACCTATGATCAATCCCCAATACAAACATAATAATAATAACTTGGTTTTTTTTTTCTAGATCCTTTTTTGTTGGTTAGTTCGTTTTGATTTCTGTTGTGTATGTTGTTGGAGGCTTCTCTAAAATTTCTCTGGACCAAATACTTTCTGTTTGCAACACAGTAAAAGCTCTATGGGTACTGTGGAGAAATTGTAGAAGAGTAATTATGCAGCAAGTTGGATATTTTATTGTCAGAAATTCCCTGTCCATATCTAAAGGCCTCTTGTAAGGGACAGCATAGTTTCTTCAAAGAAAGAGTCTCCATTTTTTCTGTGTTATGTGAATTCCTAACTGCTTGCCCTCAAGATATAGGATAAGGTGGGGTATGGGGGAAGGCACTGAGGGATGGCCCTTAAGTGTGGAGATTTCCATCTAAATCCTCCCCTTTCAGTTGACTTCACATTGGTCCTAGAGTCACTCCACTGAGAGCATTGGTGGGGGGGTTGAGACATGGTCTCACTATGTATGTAGTTCACACTGCTCTGGAACTCACTGTGTAGCCCAGGCTGTTCTCGAACTCAGCGATCCTCCTGCCTCAGCCTTCCAAGTGCTGGGATTATAGGCCTGCGCCACCATGCCTGGCCTACTGAGAGCCTTTGTGATTCACTTTCTCAAGTGAATAACTTGTGACTCCTATAGAGATTAGGAAAGGCTGGTTGAGGGACTGGGGATTTAGCTTAGTGGTGCCGCTGCCTGCTTTGTAAGCTCAAGGTCCTGAGTTCAGTCCCCAGCATCAAAAAAAAAAATAATAATAAGGAAAGGAAAGGCTAGTTGGGGACCTAGACATCTAACTCTTATATACTTTTCTTTTTTGGTACCACTGAGCTAAATCCCTGGCCTTAACTCTTATATAGTCATTTAATCACCTTTTTGTCGTATTGGGTCCTCCAGCTTCTGAGAATTTCTGTGGCTTTAATCTGTTTAATTTTTATTAGTATTATTTGTAGATAACTAGATTTTAATTTATACCACTTTGTTATATCAGTCACCAAGAAAGGAGATAAATAACCTGTTAAATCCACCATATTTAGCTAGAAGCTTATATAAAAACTGTGTAGCCCTAAAATATCATTAATTGTTCATTTCCATTTACCCTCCCCATTGCAGAGCTTGCAGAATTGCCTTTGATACGTTTAGACTTCTCCTGCAATAAAATCACATCAATCCCTGTTTGTTACCGGAACCTCAGGCACCTGCAGGTGATCACCCTAGATAACAACCCACTGCAGTCACCTCCTGCACAGGTAAACCATAGTGCAAACAGGCTGTGGGCTTTTTTTTTTTTTTTTAAACAAAGTATAAAGTGTAATTATATGCATTTATCTTTCTGTTGTAAATTAAGTTATTTTAAAATTAATTCACACACTTCATATTCTTTAGAAGCCTTGAATAAATGGGATGGGAGGTGGGTAATGTTCCCAGAAGTGTTCTTCATTTCACTGATTCATCAATTTTTAATTTGAGGAATTCTGAAATTGTTTTTCTAATAAAAGTTTGAGCCACATTTGGTGGCCCATGTTTGAATTCAGAAGGTCAAGGCAGGAGAATCACAAGTTTAAGGCTAGCTTGGGCAGCTCAGTGAGACCTGTTTCAAAATAAAATTTAAAAAGGGCTGAGGATGTAGCTCAGGGGTAGAGCATTGGGTTTGATCACCAATATCAAAAAAGAAAAAAAAAAGTTAACTTTTATTTTCTTCTAGTAAAAATTGAATGTAAAGAACATAAAGGCTAGAGACAAATAAAAATACCTTTCCAATTTAAGGATTATCAATACATTCTTATTACCATTGTTTTTTGTGCTTTTTGCTTTCTAAAGTCATAAACTATTTAGCCAGTTTGTTCATTTGACAGTAATGAAACTAGTAATAACATAATTATAAGGTAGGTTTATGTATAGATCCTAGACATCGTATAGTCTATAAAATGTTTACCAATCCATAATTTTCACTATATCTATTTTTTAACAGCGTTTTTTTTTTTTGGTACCAGGGACCAAACTCAGGTCCTTGCACTTTTGCAAGGCGGGCAGTAGTGCCACTGAGCCAAATCCCCAGCCCTGTATCTATTTTTTAAACTACAATTTATTGATGATTTTATACAAGTCTATAGTAGTCTTTATGGTGTCTGTAAAACTTATGTTTGAACTTCATCATTTTAAAGAATTACTTGTGGGACAGTGAGCAACAAAAGATAGATATAGATATATAGATATCTTTGTCATCATTACCTGATCCTCTCCTATGGAAAGTAGGTTCAAAGGTATAATTATACAGTTATTAGATTTCTAAAATCAAAAGTTGTCTGCATAATGTATTGAAGAGAAATTTTAAATTTCCTGAATATGCATTATTAGTGTAATAAATGTACTTGGTATTCTAACAATGTTTGTAACACAGATTGTTTCTGTGTTATTAAAACTTATTAGTGACTAGAATAGAAAAATATATTTACTAGCTAAATACTTAACACTGGACCAAATTATTTATATATATAATATATATTTTTATATATTATATATATGATATGTAA